CTCACTCGCTCTGCTGCCACGGCCCGCGCCGCGCGGCCCCGCCGTGGGAGCGGCGACCGCCGCGTTGTTGTCGTGGGTACGGGTATCTGTGGCCGGCGTCTACACCGGGGATGTAACTCAGTGGTAGAGTGTCTGCTTCGCATGCTGAAAGTCCTGGGTTCAAATCCCAGCATCTCCACGATCAATTTTGAAAAAAAAAAAATGGCAAAGATCTACTTGGGAGATCTACTAGTACGATGATCGTTCGTTTTGTTCACTCTAGTGATCGGGGTAGCGTCCTCGTCCTCAAATGGACCTCAGTGGAGAAAGGTGTGCTTCGCAAGATGAAAGTCGTGGGCATTTCCATTATTATGTTAATAAAAGACGTCATCCATATCTTTATGGCTGCACAGTCTCACGGTGGCGCCTTTTAAACCAGTACACTGCCGGCGGTGACAATGAGGCCTCCATAGCTCAGGGGCAGAGCACTAGTCTCGTAAACTAGGGGTCGTGAGTTCGATTCTCACTGGGGGCATCGTTTTTTGTAAGGGTCTTCACAGAGACAACCTTACAAACTTTTTAGGCCTTACAAAGAAAAGCAGCTTGTTACAACAGAGTATTTTGAAGAAAAAAATTACTTCGTAATTTACCAACTATCTTTGCATGTACGCTCAAAATACTTCGCAAAGTTTTAAGCGTGTTCCTAAAGAGCTTAGTTTTATTTTTTTTCTAAGGAAGAAATTGGCAACTTAAATTCTTACAGAGAGGAGTAAAAAAGAAAGGGCCCCTCCGGGATTTGAACCCGGGACCTCTCGCACCCAAAGCGAGAATCATACCCCTAGACCAAGAGGCCTCGGTGCATGAGAGGCCGCCCAAAGGCAACGACTCGCGGGGCCTCTCCGCAGCGATGCGCGCGGCTGTACTACAGCATGACGTCACGGCCAGCTGACGCGCGGGGAAGGGAGGGGGGCGATGTGACAGGCCCACTCTCAAGGCCTCCGCGCGGGCGGGCCGGACACGAACAAGACAGGTCCGTAATCCAGAGCCGCATCGACATCGGGCAACCGGAATTACTGCAGCTTCCAACGAAGGGAAGAAAGTCCGAGGTGGATGATAATCCCCCTCCCTCCAACGTATCGCAGTGCTTGGATCTTTGATCTTCCGAAGGCCGTGGACAACAGCAGCAACGAGACGGGCCTTCCCTCGGCAAGACCTGCGGGACGACCTCTTCATATCGTCGCTCTGTCTCTCTCCCACTCATGGGGCGTTGCCGGGGGGGCACGAAGCACCACCGCCTCGCCCCTCCCCCCTTCCCTTTCACACCCCAGGGCGCCGAGGCAAAGGCAACCCCCCGTGACCGCCCCCCGCGCCAGCCCGCCCCAGTTTACTTTATATCTTTTTAAATTGATATTTATACGTCTCTAGTTACAGCAGCCGGCCGTGGGAACACTGTGGAGGGAGGAGCACCAGCCTCGCTGTCACAGTAAATAGTACAGCGTAGGCCCTCCTCCTGACACACTGACAGTGCACTGACACACGCGCCAGTAATCTCCAATCTGAATGGAGGCGCTCCTTTGTGACCACCGCGACCCCGCACGCACACTGCACGCAGCAGACGAGTCGTTTCGTCTCTCTCGCACTCACGGCGCGCCCCCTGTAGGTGCGAGAGGGACAGAGCGACGAAAACGACTCTCGGAATCAGTCTGCAGACTGCACGCAGCGCGCGCCACGGCCTGGCACGGCCACACAATGCGACGCGTGTACCTTTTGTGGTCCGCGCGGATGATGACGTCGATAGACTGTGTCATTACATCTCTATGAAGGGCGGGGCCGTGCAGGCAGGCCGCGCAGCCGACTGATTCCGAGAGTCGTCGCTCTGTCTCTCTCGCACTCATGGGGCGTCCCGTACAGGTGCGAGAGAGACAGACGACAGCCTGGCCACCGTGCGTGTCGTGACGTAGCGGCGTACTCTCTGGGCACTGGGGCGCGCGCGGGCCGCACGCGAGCTCGCCCACGCGCGACCGGCCACCACACTGCATGATGCACGGGCCGAAAACACGAAAACATGAAATTCTTTGTGGTATGTTACGAAGTCAGCTGCACCACCATAATATGGAACATTTTCACCATAATATGGAGAATCTGCACTGTTCAACATTTAGAGTGGGCGCGCGGCGGTGGCGCTCCAAACGGGACGGAGGCTTTCCCTTTCGCTCGGCAGCTCGCGCTGCTCGGCTCCTCGTCGGCGGCGCCTCGGCCGCCCTATCCGTCCGGCCATCCGGCCGAAAGGCGCGGCCGGAGCGTGACTCACCGCGAGCACCGCGAGCCGAGCCAGGTAGCGGGCCGGCACCTCCGCCGTCACAGCGGGGATGTAACTCAGTGGTAGAGTGTCTGCTTCGCATGCTGAAAGTCCTGGGTTCAAATCCCAGCATCTCCACGACGCTGATTTTTACTCCGGAAGGGGGCAACTTGCACGACGAGGCGGCGAGCGGTAACATGTGCCGAGTGCGAGGCGCCACAACGCAACAGGCGCCTCCATAGCTCAGGGGCAGAGCACTAGTCTCGTAAACTAGGGGTCGTGAGTTCAATTCTCACTGGGGGCATGAGCGCCGTCATTTTATTACCACTGTCATAAACACTCACAAAACTGCCTTACAAAAACCAAGAGGCTTGTCATTACAAATTATTTTGACCACACATAAGCTAGCTGACTTCGCAATTTACAAAACAAGTCTTCGTAACGAACTAAAGAAATTGTATGTACCTTGCATAAGCTCAAAGTAGTTTTGTAAAGATTTAAGTCCTTTCAAAGATTCAAATTTAATTTTCCAATGCCACATAACGATAACGACACCCGGCCGCTCGCGGCAACGCCGTCGCAATACTTTCATCCTAAGTGCGACTAAATGGTTCCCGCGAGTGGCGACTTGGCGGCAAAGCTTCCTGAGCGACGCACGCCCACGCGCGCCGCGCGTTCCGGCGTGTTGCCGGCGGAGTGGTCGCGTGGTCGCACACGCCGAGGGGGCGGGGCGGGGCGGGCGGGGCGGGGCGGGGCGGGGCGGGGGGGGGGAGAGGGCACGTGCCGGGTGTGGCCGGGAGAGGCGTCCGTCGAGGACGCCGGGGATGGGCTGATTATTGAATGGGCTGCTATGGCACGTGTGTGGAAGTGTGTGTGTGTGTGTGTGTGTGTGTGTGTGTGTGTGTGTGTAATGTATATGTGTGGTTGGATGCATTTGAGTCTGTTGTACTACATTCGTATTGTTTTGGAGCATTTTGACTACTTGTATACATGCATAAATCTGTGTATGGTATGGTTGGGTGGGGGTGGAGGTGGAGGTAACATGAGCACATAAACATTTTTAGATCTATAGCGATTGTTTCGGATAGGATTTGCAGGACTGGTGTAGGAGTGGTACCTGCCCTCCGTTGGGGCAGTACTATCAAACAGTGCGCGCGCGTGCGGGTCGCCACGTGACACGTGGGTCTGGACACGTGAGCGACTGGACGAACGTGGCCATCGCAGCCATTGCCGTGTCAACAAACCAACAAACCGGCCGGACGTGATTCGGACGAGTTGGCGCGACTTGTCGTCACGGCTGGAGGGCTGGAGGGCTGGAGGACGCACGCAGCGGCACGCGACCGCGGAATGGCACGGCCAGCAGACTCATGCCGAGAGTCGTTTTCGTCGCTCTGTCTCTCTCGCACCTATACGGGACGCCCCATGAGTGCGAGAGAGGCAGAGCGACGAAAATGACTCTCGGAATCAGAGTGCAGGCCGAGAGGGTGGCGGCCCGGCGGCCCGGCGGGGCGACACCGGAAGTGGCCCGGAACCTCGCCGGAACAGCCCCGCGTACAGTGTGGTGTCCGGCACGTCGCGCTGCACGTCGTGCACGTCGTCCTCGGCGCGCTAATTGGGGGACGGCAACGACGGGACGACGCGCGGGTTCGAGGCGGCGGTGGAGTGGCGGTCGTTTTGGCGGGAACCTTGCGGCGGGCAGTGCAGGCCCGTGCGAAGTGGGCCGGAAGCCCCGTGGAACCCCGGAATTCTAGACGCGTATTGAGCTCCAGAGTCACTTAATGGGACTCCAACCGAACGTGTGACCCCACCAATGGATTCCTCGTTCGGAGAGCAATCCATTGGTGGGGTCACACGTTCAGTTCGAGTCTCATTTTACGACTCTGGAGCTCAAAACGCGTCTCCATCTGGCTCACTGGGCCGCGCATTAGACCCGTGGTGGACCTGATATGCACTTTTGTTTCCTTCGCAGCCGCAACGCGCGCACGCAACGGCGGTTCCTGTACGCAGCATGCGTACCCGCGGCGTCCGCGAACCGAGTTCGTACGCAAACACCTCGGCCTGCTCCACCCCCTGCAGACTGATTCCGAGAGTAATTTTCGTCGCTCCGTCTTCCTCCCACTCACGGGGCGTCCCGCATGGGTGCGAGAGAGACAGGGTGACTCTCGGACACAGTCTGCCGCTGGCTGCTCTCGGCGCGCGCTGGCACTACTTGGCGGCGCCGAGCACTCATTGTTGCCACAATAACAATGAGGCAGCGCGGCCAGGGCGGCCCGCCAGGCAGTGCTGCGCGCTGTTTGCACTACTTCACTTACCAAGAGTGCTCGGTGGCCGCGGGCCGCCGGCCGCCCCCGCTCTAATGATAATAACACCGCACCAGTCAACGACGCGAGGCGTGGCGGCACGGCACGGCACGGCGCGGCACGGCACGGCGCCGCGGGGCGTGATTGCACATTTCGACGGCGTCGCTTCGCTTGCTTCGCTTCTCAGCGCCGCGAGCGAGCCGCCACGCCACGGCCGCGCGCAGGGGTTGGAAAAAGGAACTGTTTGCGCAGGCAGGCCGGGCATTGATTTGATTTAAATTTTTAAACTTCGGGTCGGTTTCTTTCTTTTAACAAAGCGGGGTCCGTAAGTGGATTCCCATTACAAAAATGTCTCAGCCAAATGGCCACGTACCACTACTTGACATAAATTCGTCTGAAGAGTGACGCTTTCGCAGCTTATTGGCCCCGCTCGCGCAGGGCTCATCAAAAATTGGTCGTTAGACTCGCAGTGTATCCTCCTCTACGGTCATTTTTTAGTAAAAGGCGAAAGATGAGTTCAATATGAAGGGAGACAGAAGAGGGAATGACCTGGCCGACCTCTACACTGATGCTGCTGACGCCCTGCTGGCCCATCGACGCCCACACGCCGATGTACCGACTAAGCACTGTATGATTCTTTCCCTTCCCGGCAGAAAAATGCGCACCATGTGTTTGCGGCTCACAGATGCGCGCACTCCGGCAGGCGCACGTGACCGTCACGCGCGTGCTCGGCGCGTGCACGGCGCGCACGGCGGGGCGGGGCGGGGCGGGGCGGGGCGGGGCGGGGCGGGGGCGGGGCGGGGAAGCCCGACAACAGGCTCGACGCGGATTCCACCCGCAAACCTGCAAAGTGCCGCCGAGTACCGCAGAGAGGCCGCCGTCCACCCGGCCCGCCTTTTGGCGGCTTTGGCTGCGAGGGCGGACGAGGGCGGAGCATTCCATTTTTGAATGACTCCCCGTTGTTGCACGTCAAGCCGCCCCGCCCCGCCACGCCCCGCCCCGCCACGCGCCTCTACAGATAATGTACGAGCCCTAGACTCCCGCAGCGAGACCGTGGCGCCTCCAACGAGGCCGTGGACGAGGCCGCCGCGGTGGCGGCTGTCATCCGCCTATAATTGCTACATGGTGGCCCAGAAGGCCCAGGAGGCGGAGGGGAGACCGCGCACTGACGTCTGCTGACGAGCATAGGCAGGCCAGGCCGGGCCAGGCCGTGTGACTGCTGCGGCTGCCGCCCTCCAGCCGAGCGATTCGTCGCTCTGTCTCTGTCGCTCTCACGGCTCTCTCCGCAAGGGTGCGAGAGAGACAGAGCGGCACACCGCCCCTCTGGATCCCTCGGCAGCACAGCCTGCAGCGCGCGCCCGTCGCACAGTGGGCCAGAAGACCGGTGGAGGCGGCCAAAACTCTGGGCGCGTTTTGAGCTCCAGAGTCGCTAAATGGGACTCGAACTGAGCGTGTGACCCCACCAATGGATTGCTCTCCGAACGAGGAATCCATTGGTGGGGTCGCACGTTCGTTTCGAGGCCTGCTTAGCGACTCTGGAGCTCAAAACGCGTCCAGAGTTTTGTCCGCCTCCACCGGTCTTCTGGCCCACTGTGCGCCGGTGCTCCTGCAGTTTCCTCACAGCCGCATCTGCGAGTCTGGTCTCACTGCGAACTGTCTCCTCTGGTTAGGGGCTTCTGCTGTCACCGCGAGGGAGCGGCCGCGTTGAGACGCTCTGTCTCTCTCGCACTCATGGGGCGCCCCGTGTGCGTGCGAGAGGGAGTCCCGGGGTCCGTCTTCGGGAGGCTTTCCGCCGCGCCTCCTTCCAGCCGCCGTTCAATACACTGTAGGCCAGGCTGCTTTTAGTCCTCGGCGTCCGCGAGGCCGCGGAGGAGGGCGGGACGGCCCGGGCCTTCGCCATGCGACTTTCCCAGGACGAGGACTCTCACGGCGGGGCTCTGGATGTCCTCGCCGGCACACTTGCAATGCGCGCGCTCCCCGGGGACGTGGTGCCGCGGTGCCACACAGCACGCCGACCCCGAACACGCCGTCGTCGCTCTGTCTCTCTCGCACCCCTACGGACCGCCCCGTGAGTGCGAGAGAGACAGAGCGACGAAGGCGCGTTCGGAATGAGTCCGCAGTGTGCCGCGCCCAGGGGCAGGCTGCAAGTCCTCTGGGCTTCGTCAGGACAAAACGGTGGCGGTGTCGGTGCGAGCGGAGCGGGGTGGCGCGGACGGGGACGGGGCGGTCTCGGCGGTGCTCGGGTTACACCACCGCGTCCGCGTCCGCGTCGCCGCCACCCTCGTCCCGGGGCGCGGCCCGCAGACTCCTTCCGAGAGTCTGTCTCCCTCGCACTCATGGGGCGTCCCGTGTCGGTGCGAGAGAGACAGAGCGACGAAAACGACTCTCGGAAGCAGCCTGCAGCGAATGCGACGCGACGCGGACGCAGCCGCCACTCCCACGATACAGCGGCTCAATATGTTCCTCTTTCCGCGGTCAAGCAGCGCCGATTTGATTGTCGGTCGAGATCGAGATCATCACCGTCCCGGCGGTCCGGCCACCCGCAGCCTCCCCCTTCCCCTCCCCCCTCCCCCACCACGCACACCTGCAGCTAGCGTAGAATGTGAAACCAAGCGTGGCGGTCTCTGCACTTGGTTTGACAGAGCGGGCACATTCTTAACGGCTGCTTTCAGCTAGAAAAACTGAACAGCTCCAACTAACGTACTTTAAATGCGTTTATGAGGCGTTGCAAATTTTGTTTCTGACTTTGATTGGGGACAGAGACTTGACTCGCTCAAAGTCGTCCCCGCAGAATAGGCGAGTGGCGGTCCTTTTTTCTGGTGGCGCCGCCTCGCCTCGCGCGGCTCCCACGCCCCCCGCGGGCATGCTTGGAAACATGGTGTACTGCTATGGGACGGCCCAGCAGGCGCGGCCCAGTCCCCCGGCGCGCGCGCCACCAGGGCAGCCACCAGGGCAGCCACCAGGGCAGCACCAGCGGCACCAGGACTGACTCCGAGCGACGTCGTCGTCGTCGCTGTCTCCCGCGCACCCCTACGGGACGCCCCATGAGTGCGAGAGAGACAGCGCTCGGAATCAGTCGGCAGGCCCACGCCGCGCGCACGCCGGGGAGGCCGTGCATCCCCTCCGCCCGACCACACCCTCGCCGACGAGACGAGGCGACCCTTCAAGTTGCCTCACCCACCCCTTCCACCCGGCCCGCCCCCGGCCCGCCCCCGGCGGCGCACGGCCAGGAAGTTGTAAGGAAAACATGCGCGCCACAAACTTTCCCACACATCATCATTAGATCGCGATCAGCTGCCGCGGAGTCCCGGACCAGCTCCGTCTCTGTCGCACTCATGGGGCGTCCCGCGCGTGCCACGAGGGGTGCGAGAGGGACAGAGCGACGGAGCGCTGTTTGGAGTGAGGCTCCACGGCCAGCTGGAGCAATGAGGGGCGTGAGGCTTCGCGAGGCTTCGCGATGGGGCCGCGGGGGAACCCAACCCCAACCCCAACCCCAACCCCAACATCGGCACCTGGCCGACGACGGCCCGACCAGCCTGCAGACTGATTCCAAGAGTCGTTTTCGTCGCTCTGTCCCTCTCGCACCTACAGTGGACGCTCCATGAGAGGGAGAGAGACAGAGCGACGAAACCGACCCTCGAAATCAGTCTGCAGGGCACATGCCTCACAAGGTGATGGCCGGGAAGGAAATTTCGCCACTGGAAAGAGCAAACTTTCTGAACCCTCGACCGCCGGCTTGACCTCGCGGGGGCGACCGCCGAGGACGCCGTCAAGGACGCCGTCAAGGACGCCGCGAGGCGAAGGGCGCCGAATGAATATTGAATAAGGCGATCCAGGGAAGCGAGCGGCAGCAGCGCGGCAGCGGCGTTCAGGGCGACATTAACCTTTAAGTGGGCCAGATTTTAAGAGCGTTTAGAGCGGCGCGAGCGGAGACTCGGCGAACGAGGAACGAGGAACGAGCGGCGGGGGGAATATGAATAGTGATTCGAGCGGACGGACGGACGGCGGGCGGACCGGGAGACTACACTGAGATCGGCGTTCCGCTGGTTTTACGGCGTCGGCGAGCACCTCGGCCACGTCGGGCGGGCGGAGGTAAATCGCCGACATTATTTCATTTTAATTCTGGTCCAATCACGTGATCGGCGCAGGCAGCCCCCCGGGCAGCGCACTGATTCCGAGAGTCGTTTTCGTCGCTCTGTCTCTCTCGCACGTATACGGGACGTCCCACGAGTGCGAGAGAGACAGCGCGACGAAAACGACTCTCAGAATCAGCCTGCGGGCCCTTGGGTACAGGAGCCTAGGGGTTGATGGGGGCTGCCCTGGAGGCCTCCTGATTCGCACTACTGCTGAAAGCAAAACGCAAAATCGCTGAAAAAAAAACGAAAAAAAAACAAGAAAGCGCGCGCCGCCTCTGCCGATACACTGTACGGCAGCGGCAGCAATATGACTGGGAATCGACGGGCCGGGCACGGCAGCACGGCAGTGTGCCTGCCCTTTGATCCCCTCCACCCCAAGAACCCCGAGAAGGCCAAGCAGGCCAAGGAGGCCAAGGAGGCCCGCGCTCCCCGGCCTAATCACGCTAATGGACAATCCAGGCTGCTGTGCCCTGCCCGAGCCCTGCCCGCGACAAGTGCGTGGCTGCGTGGCCGCGGCGGTGGAAGGGGCGACGACCCTTTTTGCACGGCGTCGTGACCCACATCAGCGCGGCCAACATCTCGAAACGGGTTCGAAACGAAACGCTCTCGAAACACTCACCGGGCCGACAAAGACCGGCGGAGGCGGCAACTCCGAGGGGCGCACTAAGGTCGGAAACGAACAATGCTATTTTCATTTGTGATTCTGTTTGATTTTTTTGGTGGTTTTAATTTTGAATGTTTCGCTCTTGCAAGGAACAATTATCTTCCCCAGAGAGCCTCCTTGAGTGACTCCGTTTGTCTCGTCCTGTGCGGCGTTCGGAACAGTCACGTGTTTGACTCGAGTACCCCGTAGAGCGAGAGACAGCGCGGTCTGCAAGCCCACTGCAAGCCCACTGCAAGCCCACTGCAAGCCCACTGCGGGCGCTGTGGGTGTGGGGTGGGTTCGAGGGGGGAACAGCTTCCCACATTCATTGTCCAAAATTTGACCACATTCCACATTCAGGAGGCAAAAACGCCTGTAAGTAGACAGACAGCATGTGTGGCAAAAACACGAGAAATCTTGCACATTCTTGCACATTTACACGTTTATTGTACACAAAATTTTACAGTGGGTCACCCCTCGGGTGGGTTCGTCCAGTCCGCCGGGGTCCTGCACTGCAAGCGTACGAACCAGGCGAGCAGGCTCATTTCGGGAGTCGATTTCGTCCGTTGTCCCTGTCGCACTCATGAGGCTTCCCGTATGGGCGCGAGAGAGACAGAGCGACGAAAACGGCTCTCGGAATGAGTCTGCTATGCAGGCGGCCGGTGCGTGACGCGGTGTTTCCTCGCGCACCCCGCCGTCGCGGCCTCGTCACGGCACGTCACGGCACGTCGCGGCACGTCACGGTACGTCACGGCCAGCGTG